GGGCCTCGATACCTGGCGGAACGCCTACTCCCACCAAGTTCTACCCGGGTCACATGGGCGAGCCGGGAGGTGAGGCTGAGGAGCTTAACGCCGAGGGAGGCCCAAAAAGAGAAAACAAGAAATAGGGCCTTCTCGGCGGTGGCTCCTCGCCTTTGGAATAACTTACCTCCTGGCATTCGCGGAGCTCCCTCGCTGGGCACCTTTAAGAACCTATTAAAGACTTGGATGTTTCGGCAGGCCTTCTCTCCAGATTACTTTTGATTTTCTTCTCTCCTTTATTGTTTCCCTATTTTTAATTGTTGTTGTAATTATGCTGTTTTATGTTATTGTATTTTATCTCTGTTGTTGGCCGCCTAGAGTAGTCCACCACGACTAGATAGGCGGGATATAAATTAAATAAATAATAATAATAATAATATGCTTTGTTCCCAAACAGAAAAGACACTAAAGACATTTTATCCCTGTGGAGGTTAATATCCTCCCCCAACCTGGCTGGTTGAGAAACCACACTCTTAAGTATATGTAATATATACTTCATACAACCTTTTTCAGCCGAACACAAATACCTCCTTAATGTGAAACCTGTGCTGTTCCACTGGGCTATGGTTTTTCGTAGTACACAGAGTTCTAGTACACAGGGCCCGGTCGGCAGATTGACACCTGAACAATAATAACCACTTCCATGGTGGCTAAGAGGTCAAGGAACTGCTCTACGGAAGGGTTCTGCCTGTTCACCTTTTTCCATTTCTGAAATGATTATTTCTTAATTCAATAATTCCTCCTGGCAGGCTTCAAGCCTCCTGGCTTATCTGTTTCTCATCTGAGAACTTGTGGTGAAACTATGAAAGCAGGTCCTGCTGCAAACATGGAAAATGTCACATTTTTGAACTACAACTCCTGGAGTTATGATCCAAGAAAGTGAAAGTGCTCCTTTTATACAGTGGCTTCTATTGTCACTTAATTCTTAAATCCTCCATGGAATAAAGCTCCTTCTCCTCACAGAAGCATGTCTCTCCAGGGAAAGCTGCCATTGTTAAAATGCAGTTCCTCAAGAGTGAAACAAACAAGCAAGAACAAAAAGTGGGCTGTAGAAGATGGGAGTGGAGAGGGGTGTATGAAGTGACAAAATTCTGTATGCTGGTATTCTTGGTGACTCTCAGTTTCTAAACACTTCGGAGAAAATACCCTGACTCATGCAATGAAATGTCCTGCAGCACTCTCATATGTCGTATTGTGCGGGGGATAGACAACATTGTCATGTGTCTTCTAGTTACCATGCATAGGTAAGTTTCATCTATGGCTGTCAATGCCCCATAGCTTAGGAAGAGTGGCAGAGTTGCCATAGATACAGAGAACACAGCTTGCAATGTGTTCAATTTGTGCTTTTTAAAATGTCATTTCCCTACTTACAACTTTGTGCAGAGAACACCTGAAAGGATCTGCCAACAAGGTGGGGCCACAGAATTAATGTTTGTTTGACTTGCACATATTAGAGAAAAACCACAAAGTGAACAGGAAAGAGAACCTAAACATAATTCCAACTGTGGCTCCACAGTTTCTCTTTGATTAGGGACAAATATTCAGGCTTGTTTTAAAGTTGTTTTAAAGTTTTCTTTCATCAGTCAATGTGCTCCCTCAGGCCATACACCTCTAGAAATAAGGTTGCCACAACTGGTCTCTAGCCCTGCTCCACTATAATGCCACTGGGAGATATGTTGCATAGCAGACCACAATGTATGTATGTATGTACAGTTTGTATGTATGTGTTTAATTTGTATCCCATCTTCTTCCATGTTGAAGGACTAAAGGCAGCTTTGAAAGGCTTACTTACAAGTAGTACTGTTAGGAAACAAACAAGCAAACACAAGACAAGCAGCTGCACTGGCATAGTGTGGAAACATTAAAGGCTATGCCAGCTACTGGACAAGTGGCAGATAACTTGGATCAAGGGTAGGAACAAGGGGCTCTACACAAATTTTTGCACAACAACTCCTATTATTTCTGTGCATTATCCACAATAGCTGCTGGGGTAGAAGAGCATTGGAGGCCAGATCTAACCGGTAAGTAGACTCAAAGGCTTCATGGAAAAGATAGGTTTTGACAAAGGTTTTGAAGAAAGCGAAGAGACATGGCATCATGAAAAGTTATATAAGGCTGTTCCAAGCATACAGAGCACTAATAAGGTAAAGATAAAGGTTTCCCTTTACAATTAAGTCCTGTCATGTCCAACTTTATTGGCTGGCACTCATCCCCATTTGTAATCCGAAGAGCTGGCGCTTGTCCATAGGCACTTTCTCTGGTCCCTTGGCTGGCATGACTAGACATGGAATGCCGTTACCCTCCCACCAAAGTGATACCTACTCATCTAGTTGCATTTGCATGCTTTTGAACTGCTAGGTTGGCAGGAGCTGAGACAAGCAATGGGAATTCATCCCGTCGCACAGATCTGAACTGCCGACCTTTTGATCAACAGCCCAGTGGCTCAGCAGTTTAACCCGCAGAGCCACCCAAGCCCCTAATATGAAATCAGAGTATAACCATGATGGTACAGGGTATGGAAGCCAAGCTCACTCAGGAGTGGTTGAGGGAGCTGGGTATCTTTAACCTGGAAATAAAGAGTCCAAATTACCATTTTCAGACATCTGAGGGCTTACGCATTGGAGATAAAGCAAATTTTGTCTTTTGCTGCTCCAGCGGTAGGATTGAACCATTTGAAGAAAAGTACAAGAAAGAAGATTGTGAACAATGCGAACAAGTTCCTGATGGTAACAGCAGTGAAAGAGACTGCCTTGGTAGGAGGTAGATTCTACTTTGTTATAACTTTTTAAACAGAAGCTAAATAACCATATGTCAGGTTTTCTTGAACCAGCAGGAAGTTGAACTAGATGATCCCTAGGGTCTCTTCCATGGAATTATATGATTCTATTACAATCTGTTTTTTCCTCTCTTTTCCTAAAAGAACCCTGATTTTAGAGCTTACAAGTCAGAAATTATCAGTGTCATGTTGCCTGCAGTCCACTGCAGATTCAAGAACTTATCATTTTGGCTAGAACCTATTAATACAATCCATCTGTTTGCAAGCAACTTTAATCAAGTCTTAAGTCTATTAATATAGATCTTCCTCTTCAGTCTGTTACTGTGATTATTAGAGATTAAGTTCAGCTGACTATCCTTCATGTCCATAAAAGAAGTGTTCTCTAAACAGGGATGTTCTTTATGCAGTCTTTCTTTAGTCATTTGGTGTGTTTTTCCCTTACTATCTCTTGTGGGGAGATACACAGAAAAATATTTTGAGGCTATTCTCTAATCAAGAAAAATCTCAGCTTAAAGGGATGGGCTACCAGAATTTGTTATGCTGCTTCCACATAACCAATGTAATCTGAATAAAAGTGGTGATGGGGGGGGGGCTATTTCTGCAAATGGTCTTCCATCTCAATTTTATGGCCAATATGAAATGAATGTGGTCCTATTATTTCTTGACTCCTAAATCAATCTTTGAAACATACTGCCCTTACTGATTAAACTTCTTCCCTAATCTATATATTATTTGTACATCAGTCTACTGTATGTGGGGAACATCTGCTGGTTCTCAGAATAAGTCCCAGAATAAGCACAATGGACACTTTGGACACCTTTTACGTAAGTGTGATTTGTATTTAATACCTGGCCATAACCTGAAATGCTGTTTCATAATAATAGGATTATTAATAATAAGATTATTTCATGATTATATTATTTTTCAAAAATAATGTGTCAGCATTAGTGTAGTCTTTTTTTAGATGACTCATTACTCTTAGAGTAACATATTAGTAAAAAAAATAGAAAACATCCTTTTAATGTCTTGTAGATAACATTACTCATTAGCCACCCCCACACCATTAGTACTCGCAACGTGTTAATTTTAAGGTTTGGGTGTTTCCAGTTTCTTCAGACGTTAGAATGCAGCAAATGTAGGTGCTTCTACATGAAGGCTGTTACTTCAATGAAGGTGAAGTTGTGAAAATGAAAGTAAAAGTGAAGAGCTTGCAGAACTGATGCCAAAGGGGGACATGTAAAAAAACCAGTTATGCCTGGGGATGAGTGCTAATGCTGTTGGTCTGGAGCTCTTACTGGCTTATATGCAGATCCCCATCTCCAGCACAGTCAGGAAGACAGCTTCTGTCTATACTTTTGACAGCAAGGAGACAGGGAAAAATATGTTTCAATGTTGCTTATCAAGGTTTCATGCAGGCAAAGAGCACTTAGTGAATACAGACGAGAAACAGTGTTCTACTTTTCGATAGGTTTTGTCCATCCTTAACCAAAAAGCTGGGATGTAATTATTTATACAAAGAAATAACTTGCTCTAGGACAATAACTAGGAAGTAAACAGTGAAAGCATGATAGTTTCAGATCTACTCTCTACCTAGTAATTGTCTTCTAAAATAGGAGGTTAAATTCAGTCATTTATTTAAAGTGCCATCCTATAAATTTCTACTAAGTAGCAAATCCTGTTGCATTCACTGGAAATTACTCTCAGGTACTTGTGTCTAGAATTGCATCCTGCTTTTTTTGATAATATCACTCTTGGGTATATTTCTTATTTTAATGGTATCCTGGTATAATTAATAATGGTATAATTATTTTAAGCTGCTTCTCTGTGGGAAATTTTAAGTAGTACGTATTTACATTTGCTTATGTATTGATTATTTCATTGAAGAAATACTTCACGGTAACAATTCTACATCCATTAACTTAAATCATCTACCACAAATTGGTATTATTGTAATATGCTATTATTCCTGAAGGATACCATCCAAATGCATCTGGAGAGTATAAAACCATTTATTCAAGTGTTTATTGGAACTGAATCAGAACAGAACAGCATTCACCTTTGTTCAAGGTGGTAGAAAACTGGAACTGAACCAACTAATCTACATATTCTCTCTCTCTCTCCCCTGTCTGAAAATGAGGAGTGGGAGATACGATAGTTCAAAAATATTTGATGAGAAAAGACTGACCTTTTACCCTGTCCCCTTTGTACAAATTAATTTCCCCTTCTCCTTGTGGCTGATATGGCTTCACAACGATAAATAGTCTTCCAGGTACAGCGCTGTAAAGTTTGCGCTTGGGACCCTGATAATCCAAGGCAGATACAGTATCCTTGTTGGCACTGGGGTTATAACTGGCACTAGAAAGGGAGCAAAATAAAATAGCATTAGTTTACAGTTTGGACTAGGTTACAGTTATTTTCCACTTCACAATATAAGGCCACACCAACCAGATTGCTACGGTAGCAAAGAAGTATCACTCATATGCAGATCGCTCAAGGCCACACAAGCTGGCACCACTTGCAGGATGCACAGTAGAGAATCAAACTCCCAACTCCACAGCCAGATACCTAAACCACTAAGCTATCTGAGCAGTCATAGTCTCTTAACATTCAAATAAATGTCTAGCTAGAAAAGGTCAACACAAATGCAAGAGTAGGTGATATGTTTATTAGAGCACCTTAAAAAATCAAGCAAACAACAGACAGCTAGCTTTCCATTATAATTCATTTTCCTCAGGCTATGCACCAATGGGTAGTTCAGAAAACTATATATACTACTTTACTGCAAACAAAAAAGGCATTACATACTACATGTCTCCAATCCACTGATTCAATAAAATGACACACATGCATGTAATTTTGGCACATATAGCACTTAAGCCTAAATGATCAACTATCTTTCAAGACTAAAAACAGAGATGTACAAGAAAGACAAATTGAGTTCCTGAAGCGACTGTTTTAACCTGCTTGAAACTGGCAAGGAGAGGCTTCTGATCTTGGGTCTTTATTTCCTTGCCCCCCATGCTACTTTTACCCCCTTGAGATTTCAAAGGTATGTGTCAATTTGGAAAAAAGCAGCATGAGGACAAATGTTTTTATGGGAGATGAGTTAAGCACCTCCCCTTACTCCTCCACTCAAAGGTGCAGTCAGCCATTTTTGCAATCTAAACCATTGGCATGTTTTTTCTCTATGTGAAACATTGTTCTGTAAACAATAAAAAAGACTGGGACACATGTAAAACATGATTGACTGTATAACATAGACTGTATATCATGCAGGAAGCAAATGGTTTAAGACACTGTACTTTGAAGTCCTTTATGAATCTGTTTCTTTCCACTGGTCCCATTACCTCCTGGCAAATAGAAGGGGAAGATATGGAAGCAGTGACAGATTTTACTTTCTTGGGCTCCATTATCACTGCAGATGGTGACAGCAGCCCCGAAATTAAAAGACACATGCTTCTTGGGAGGAAAGCGATGACAAACCTAGACAGCATCTTAAAAAGCAGAGACATCACCTTGCCAACAAAAGTCCGCATAGTCAAAGCTATGGTTTTTCCTGTAGTGATGTATGGAAGTGAGAGCTGGACCATAAAGAAAGCTGACCACCAAAGAATTGATACTTTTGAATTGTGGTGCTGGAGGAGGCTCTTGAGAGTCCCCTGGACTGCAAGGAGAACAAACTTATCCATTCTAAAGGAAATCAACCCAGAGTGCTCACTGGAAGGACAGATCCTGAAGCTGAGGCTCCAATACTTTGGCCATGTCATGAGAAAAGAAGACTCTCTGGAAAAGATCCTAATGTTGGGAAAGTGTGAAGGCAAGAGGAGAAGGAGACGACAGAGGATGAGATGTTTGGACAGTGTCATCAAAGCTACCAACATGAATTTGACCCCACTCCGAGAGGGAGTGGAAGACAGGAGGGCCTGGCATGCTCTGGTCCATGGGCGCTCACTGGACCAGAAGAGTCAGACATGACTAAATGACTAAACAACAATAAAATTTTAGTGTCTACGTGCTCCGTATATTTTTAAAGCCATTACTGAATGCTGCCCTTTGTAGCTTGCTATTTTTCTGTTTATCATTTCCAGATTTTGTTTTCCTTTATTGAAAATAATAATGTGTGAGTTGCACTACACACCCTGATAATGTCTTATTTCGGTTACACAGTGTAAAACAGCAGGTGACAGGATTTGGAATATCATGATTACAACAACTAGTATGTATGTGTAGTCATTACAGAATTCATCTAGAGAGTAAATAAATGTAGAACATTTGGACCCATCATCTAATACATTACCACTGTTTGTTTGCCCTAATAATAATTGACACAGGAGGCGACTTTCAAGCATGAAGAATTAAATGCACTTTGTAACACACAGAGAATATCAATAGATAACGCTGAAGCTTAAAGAAGTTGTGAGGGGCAGATTTTAGTCATTTGCAGGTGTACTTTTATGCTGTTGATGTTTTTTTTCTGCTGAAGGAGAATATGTACTTAGTGAATGTCTAACTTCATGTGCAAGTATTTACCGTTTATAATTAAGTAAAATAAAAACAAAGATGTAAGAATCCTTTAAATGGACTAGCAATTATAAAGGCCAATAAATAAATAAATTTAAGAATTCTGTGGACTGAAATGAAAAGACAAACTTATTTGCTGTTGAATTACTGTGTTTTATGATGTACTGATGCTACACATGATATGCAGCACCCTAAGACATAATTTTTTAGCTGCAGGGCTCAAGTATATATGGGGAGATAGTAAAGGTTTACTTTGGGCTGGGAAGTCCAGAAGTCCCGAACCTGATCTACAAACTTTCAGTTTAAATACCTTGAAGATCTTGGAATTTACTGGTGTCAGACGTCCTTCAATGAATGCAGATCACAACTATTTAATATTGTTCTTGAGAGGCGTAATAAGGGTAAATTATCAATCATACTTGGAGAGCCACACTAATGTTTTTATCTGAAGATGAGGGCAGGTGATACCTTTATTGATAGTAATTGCGTAGGATCAAGTTAATTCTGAATTAGGATGACCCTTTTCTGGGTTTTCTAGGTAGAAACCACAAATGGTTTATTGTTCCCTTCTTGTGGGGTTAACCTGGGGTTGTACAGCTTGCCTTGGGCCATATAGGCTAGCTCTTCTTTCAGGAGGCATAGTAGAGAACTGAAGTCCTAACCTCTGGCTCCGCAGCCAGACAGCTTTAATATATCACTGAACTATCATAAACAGAAACTTGCTTTCAGTTCCTACCGAAGTCTTCATCACACTAACCATTACAGAGCTGGGACTGGTGCAGAAGAAACATAGGAGTTCCAATAAATCATTGGTAGAGATACATGCCATATTTCTCCATTTAAAGCCTATGTTTCTTCTGCATCATGCCCAGTTCTATAATACACTTAACAGCTGACAAGGGCAGTATTTGCAGCCATGCAAAGACAATTATCATCACCCAAGGAGGAAGGCGAAACGGTGGAGAACATATTCTTCTAGCCATTAGATAATATGTCTAATTTGTCTGCTTATTTACTTATGTCAACTAAATTTTATTCCAACGTCACTGATATGAGATTTGTCATGTTTCTATGTGGCCTTATTACCAGCCAAAAAAGAACTATGTGTTTTGATGTAAAGCAATGGGGGTGGGGGGTTGAGTGACTGGCAGCTCTTGATTTAAGATTTGGAGAGGCATTCTAATCTGCATTTTAGAAAATCTGAAAACTGCCCCTCTGAACTGATGCTGCAGCCCCCATTTTGGAACTAGCTTTACACAGAGGAACCTAGCACATATATCTGGCCATGGTATTTGGAATTTGTTTCACCTACATCACCCCAAGCTCTGTAAATGCCCTGCCTGCCATGCAAGAATCACAAGCTAGCTTCTGCCTGCAAAATTTTAGTATTCTAATAAAGGTGCCACCCACCTTTGTTTTTGAGTTATGTACCAGGACCACATGGATTTTTCTTCTTTCTTTCCTAACAGACACTGAACTTTTATGGAAAGTAGAAATGAATTTTATAGACAGGATTTACAGACAATTTTGTAAGCAAATAAACAAGATGAAAATTGGTTTTCCAATTTACAGAAGAGCTGACGCTCAGCCATTCCACCACAGATGTCTATAGGTAGACATGGAAATACTTTGCCATACAGTAAGCCAGGATCAGGTTTGAGGAAGTTCTGGGTAAGCATGACCCTTGCCTGTGGTTATGCTCTGGATTAGATTTTCCGTGAAATGTGGTCCCCCCAAAGCACCTGTAATATCTCCAGTGATGAGCTGGTGTTGCATGAGCAAGCTTACTAGGAGATATTGTGGAGGGTGTGTATGGGTGTGTGTGTGAGTGCTGCAGAGGGTATTGGCAAGCAGCCCAATGCTCAGATCACTAAGTGAAGTGGCGGCGGCAGCCATTGCCTTCTTAAATTACTCAGAAAACATACCAGGAATGTGCATCAGTCAGTATACACACTGGAATGCATTTGCATATCGGTTTAAAGAGATGCATTACTACTTTATTCCTAGCCCACACTCCTGTACTTTCAAGTACAGCTTCCGAAGCAGAACATCAAAACAGAAGTCCTTAACTTTCAACAGAAGGATATGTAAGCATCAATGCAGAGAGTTTGCTAAGAATAGCACTTTTTACTCCAGTATTTTACAACTATTTGACCTGAGGGATAGAGAAATCTACAGCACCATTGCTTTCTGATGAGAATTTATATTCTTAAGGACACAGTTTAGGTTTCTGAGTCAAGTGAATTTTTCAGGTGACCCTCTTATCCCACCATCACTTCATGCCTTGCAGCTTTTGAAAGTTATTAAAAAAGAAAGAAACTTGGATGGGGACATGAGGACTATCAAGGGAAAGAAGTGCATTTTCATTAAGTACCTGTGACAAATAGTGAGAAAGTTTAGTAGTTCGTGTAACATTTTCCAGGAAAGTTAGAACAAAATAATTCAGTGCTAAAGTGAAACAAGGAATTCACCACTAACTTTGTTCAAGATGATGCTGAATAAAACACATATATCAAATATTGAAAACTACATATAGAATAGATTATCTCCCCAGACTTCAAGTATGCTGCCTAGTCATCAAGAGTAGATTCTAAGAACCATTGTCATGAAAGGAAAAAAAATCCACACCTGATCTTGCAGAATGAAAACCAACTGCAATAGCTGACACTGATAAATTAGCTATAGAAAAATCTACAGATTAGAACAGGCAGCAAAGGAAAATACTGTATATATACAAGAATGCTGGGAGACGCAGAGAAGTTAATTTATATATAGACTAGCAATTGTAATCAATATTTACACACAACAACAACATTCAACATTAAATGATGGAATATTGAAACGTCACCCGATGTGCCGGTGTTGTCGTTTTGCATCCTCTCCTAACCGATTTAATGACGGTGAGCGGCTCCGAGAGGATGGCGTGTAGCTCCCAACAGTTTTCACAGTTCCATTAGGATTATTCTGCATCTGTTGGAGTAGGTGAGGTGAAAGGCTACGGTGTGAAGAAGCTAAAGAAGAGGCTGACCAGTCAGGAACGTTGATAGGCAGATTGTTATCACTGTTGGAACGAAGCAAGACACGAGGTGTTGCCAAGGTGCTCTGGGGCCTCCGTCTTCTATTTGAGTAGGTAGGAGCCTCTCTAAATGGCACTGAATTGAAGAGGAGAAAAAGTGCAACATCATTCATTGGTTAAGACCATCTGATGTTTGCCAAATTCATCAGCCCGCACAAACCCCTGCCCCATCAATATGTGATGTTCTTTCAATTCAATATTTGAAAAACAGAGCAACTATGGCTGATTGCTTAATCAAGATCAGCACTAGAAATATACTTAAACTGCGATTAAAATCAAAGATAATTTTCAGATAAAAGCACTGAATTAATAAGCAAGTAAGTTCCATATTACTGAAAACCTGAGTAACATTGTATCCACCGTACAAGTCTAGAATTGGAGACTAGCATTTAACAGTGAACATTGACAGATTCATTAACCATAAGCAATTGCTAGAATTCATCAATCTTGTAAAAACATTATGAAAAGTTTCAGTTTAATCACAACAGATTTTTCTACACACCAAAAGCTAGAGCCTCTTTTCCTTTTTTTTCCCTTTCTACCTTTGAACATGTTCAGAAGTTTTCGTTATCCTAAACATGAAACTAAAAGACTATGCCTTCTTCTCTGGTTTGATGTAGGAATCATAACAGAGAAACAGTGATCTCCCCACACTACCATGCCCCCAAAAGATATAGGAGCTGTAAATACTGTACTGGCATCAGTGAACAATTCTAGATGCTGCTAAGCCTAGCTCTGGACCATTCTAATGGAACTAAAAAATTATTATCATATTCAACATTGAGTATTTGGCTGGATTCATCACTACATGTAGGATAATAAGCTTGTTTTATTATTTAAATAAATATAAGTATATGAAATAAATCAACACTAACATTTAGCATTTTAAAGCAATAAAATCCAATTTTATTACAATAAATGTAGGTTTCCTTTAGTACTAGTCTGTCACTCTATCCACCCGAGTTCAATTCCTCGTTTGGCCAATCAAGTGAGTTCTACTTCTACTTGTTGGAGCTTTTTCCCCTAAGAACACCACCCTGCGCCACCCGATCCGCATTGGCCATGCTCTTATGGGTTGCCACACTGCTGTAAGTAATACAGAGCCATACGTCTGCAGTAAGAGTATGATGGGTAAGAGTCGCCCATCATTTCCCTACTTGACATTAAATTAATCTTTGCTATCACCATTAGATATTCTTATGCAGCTACATAACAATGGAGAAACAGGAGCTCAAATGGTAATTTTTGCACCAGGTTTGGGACTCAGTTCAAAAAACTCACATGGCAGAACCTCATCCTACACCATTACTGGAATCATTTTACCTGAATCAATCAAGTACTGTATTGTGTCAAGATAGTAGCTCTAAAGATCAGGTTACAAGAAAGCATTGTGTTCTATTATTTTATATTAATAAATATAGTTTACTTCCTACTCAGAAAACTCAGAAAATAAAGTGCCTAGCAGCCAGCAGGGAGAAAGGTACATGGTTCATAATCCAAAAACAGGTACAATTTCTGAAGAGGGAACATTCATGTTTCAGACGTATGTCTTTGTTCATGTTGCAACTTCTCCTCCCAATGTGAATGGGACTTTCAAGGTCGAGTCTTGCTTCTTGTTAGAATGCCAAATAGTGTTATGAAGCAAACTTTATGACCTAAATTCAGTTTTCTACTTCCAGTTAGAGTAGACCTACTGGCTGAACAGCTGAATGGTCAAGTCAATACTTACGTAAACCCAAGTGATACAGGGGTCCACTCTAGTTGGCAGTATTGATTAATTTAGGCCTCTATCCTTATATTTTAACAAAATAAAAGTTTTCAGACTTTTCCCTAATTGAGCTATATGTGTACCTAGTTGTAGATTTCCGTTTTTTGTGGAAATAAAAAAAAATTCTATTTTCACTAGTGAATGTGCCAATAAGGCTCAAGCATGGTACCCTCTCTCTATGTACAGTATTTAAGAAACCCAGTTCCATGGCTATCCATTAAAATATGTTCCAGTTTCTTCAGTGAAACTATATTAGTCTCACTGAAGAAAAACAGTGTTTTGTAAATGTTAACAAACCTAAGTGACTTTAGGAGCAAAATAATTTGAGATGCTGACACCAATTCAAGGAAAAGCAAGTACTAAAACTTTCATTTGCCCTATACTTGTGTCCTCACAGACTATGAGAATCTGTGAGAGCACAAGGATCCAGGCAGATATCCAGCCTAAACTGAACATTCTGCATGGCTTCTCTGGGGCAAGGGCACATACTGGAAACAACACATTAAGTATAACACATAATTTTAATTTGCTGGTGATGAGTTGAATAAGAATATTTGTTTGTTTGTTTGTTTGTTTGTTTTACATTTCTATCCCGCCCATCTAGTCGTTTCAACTACTCTGAGCAGCATACATCAAACACAACAAAGACAATTAAAATAGTATCAACATCCAAAAATAAAATAAATAATTGTTCAAGATGGAAAACAAAAATAAATCAAATAATAGCCAGAGGGGAGGCCTGCCTAAACAGCCATGTTTTTAATTGGCTTTGAAAGACACTCAGCGAAGGGGCCATACGGATCTCTGAAGGTAAGTTGTTCCACAACCGAGGAGCCATGGCCGAGAAGGCCCGGTTTCTTGTTTTTTGCTTCCGGGCCTCTCTCAGCGTTAGGCCCCTCAGTCGCACCTCCAGACTACATCGAGTGAAACAGGTAGACTTTGGTGGGAGAAGGCGTTCCGTCAAATAACGAGGACCTAAACTGTTTAGGGCTTTATAAGTAATCATTAAGAGTTTGAAATCGATGCAGAAGTGTACGGGCAGCCAATGCAATGCGGACGGAGTGGGAGATATATGGTTTCCTCACCCCACTAATAAGTCTGGCCACCGCATTCTGCACCATTTGAAGGTTCCACGTCATTCTCAAAGGTAGTCCCACGTAGAGCGCATTACAGTGGTCTAATCTCGAGATTACAAGCCCATGCACTAAAGTGGTAAGAAGACAAAATGTCTTTCAGTTTTGCTCTTAACAAGGATCACACTCATTTTTTTATCATAATAAACACCAGATTTTGACTCATAAACTGAAATCCTGTTCCACAGATCTGAGTGTGTAATGGAGATGACATCAACAGCAGCAAAGAAATTACCACTGATTAAAGGCAAATTGATGCTGATGAAAGGGTTTTCCAGGGTGCATACTGCTCATTTACAGTGTGATGAAGTCATGTGCACTAAAAAAATATCCAATGGAAACTTTGAATCAGCAGTATTGGCCAACACGGCTGACATCACCATTGCACGCAACAGGATTTCAACTAATATATTGTTATTCTTCTGCTGCAACCTCTAACTCTAGTATCCATTGCATTTTTTCTTCTCTATTATTTGACAACAAATAACACTTCAAGTGTTGTGAAACTAAGCTCTATGGTGGTACATCACCAATTAGGCTGTAAGAGGAGTAAAAATGACTTGCTGTAAAAAGGTGTGAAGTTTGTTTATTGAACCAAGTAGGCATCATGTGTCTCAAAGGGCTTGGGCCTAAGATTCCTTTCTTTGAGATAATTTGCTATGCCGAATACCTCAGACTTGAAATAATTCATCAAAACAACAAAACTAAGAGTCACTTGAAAAAAAAATCTGATGTAGTGAAACATCTTTATAGAAAGATAAAGAAAGAGCTAGAATTTAATGTATGTCACCTTTTTACACTACAATTTTCACTAAAAAGCCAAAATTTTATGCATGGGATATCAAAAGTTCTCACCAGCAGCTGATAGATACGTAAATTGACTATCTGCTGTGAAAATTATCTCTCCCAAAGTGACTGAAGTATATGCTGTAATATGGCTCTACATGCAGCAATATGGATCCACTTATTACTGTATGTTGCCTGGTGTTACTAGACAGGGAAGCAGGAGGAACATTCAGAACAGATGACTAAAGATGAACAGTATCCTTCTGATCTGTGCTGAAGCTGTAAGAACTGTCCTAGCATGAGCAAGTGGAGCATGGAAAGCAAAATCTGCTATTTCCAGATATGTTGCTTTATTTCTATAGGTACAGAAGCAATAGGATCATCCATAATAAAAAGGGAAGCAATGAACTTTACCCCACTGGCCTCTGCTGAAGTTTAAGAAATGTCCACAATGAGTGAATGTAGCATGGGAAAAATAATTGGCTGAAGTCTGTAACAGCATTGCTTGCTACCTATTTCTCATACAGTACTTGGCACTTAGGAAAAAAAAACTGCTTCCTTAGATAGATAGATAGATAGATAGATAGATAGATAGATAGATAGATAGATAGATAGATAGATAAATAAATAAATAAATAAATAAATAAATAAATGCTGTAGAAGATCTACCCTCTCTTTCTCAGGCCAATATTAATTGAATGAACTTGGCTGGGCTATTAATTACAGAACTTTTTGGCAGTCACTAATTCATATGGCTGTCGTACGTCTGAAGGGACTTATGACATAGCAACAACATTAATCGAAGGCTGACATTATCTACATTGCTGTTAAAGTACAGTATTATACAACTGTAATGTTGAATGAATGACATGTTAGAATTGTCTGTATTGTTACAATGCATATTTTTGTTCCTGTATCCATCGTCTTGCATTTTAAACCACTTTCAGCACATTGCATGCAAAAGCAGCATATAAATTAAAATAATGATGATGAGTACAGTAGATGGAATTTTCATCCTAGTCAAATCAATGCCAAAACTCATTGATACAATAAACCTGGAGTGCATCTATGAATCACAACTCAGTTACCAAAATTAAATCCAGATCACTTTTATTTATTTATTTATTTATTTTATTTTTTCGATTTTTACCCCGCCTATTTTTACTACGTCTACTCGACTACTTTTGTTCCTCCTTCAAAATTAAATAAATAAATTGTAAATATTCCATGTAGATTATGTTCACAAAATCTTTTAATATACATTTCACTGATTGCCTTATCACCCATTTAACTATATCTGATCTATCTTTCTAAACATTTTATTATATGAGTAGTGTGTTATGCCATCTTTCCAAACAGTATCTCTTGATATTTCAGTTTTTTGTGTTA